ATGGAGCAGTTCAATCTGCATTCAGTTCTGTGGCACAGTCACACCTGTCCTCTATAATAATGATAATAATTACAAATAAAATCATAATTGTATTTATATACACCCTTGCAAAGGTTAATTCAAAAGTGTTTAATCTCTGCCAAATAATTATTGATACATGACACCTACCATAGATAAAACAAACAAAACAACCACAACCTGTTTGATAAATACAAACAATAAGATCGCATTCAACTTTATTTAAAACCTACTCTCTAAATATCACCAAACGTTTATTGAATCTTTCAAATAGTACGTCTGGAATCGTTGAACAAGCAGTAAAAACACTACAACATTCAAGTAACAGATATTTGCACACATTTCCCTCAATGCGCACCTTCATAATCTATAACTCTTTCCTGTTTTTTTATTTGTTTTTTTGGGGGGCTTTTTTCCCTTTAATTTGATCGGACAGAGTAGGAACTCTGGGAGAGAGAGTTAGGAAATTTGAGACTTGAATTTTGGACTTGAACCTGGAACACCCGCTTGTAAGACTGTAACCCGTACATGGGGTGCAACTTAACCGCTAGAACCACTAGCACCCACTCTCTTCTGCCTTTTTTTTTAATGCTGCACATAAAAAAAAAAAAAATTCCTATGACAGTACCAAATATAAAGCCTCTTCCTCTGGACTTGGTCTAAGTCACTCGTTGTTTTTAAGGAGTTCTGTAAATTTCCACCAAACTTATCTTGATAATTGAAATGAAAACAAAGTAAACAATAGTCATTGTGACGTTGCAGCTGTTCATTGAAGCTTTATGAAGTTTTCACTGAATGAATTTCACAAACCTGATCTCCATCAGATTTAAATGTTCTGCACGTCTGCTGCATCATTCGAGGCACAAGATTTCACCCTGATATGCTTGGAAACTTTGGGATCTCTGCTCAGACTTTGAATAAAGTTATGTGGTTTTGAACAACATGAGGACATAATAATGGAGCAGGCGGAGTTGTGCTTTTGTACTTTTCCAGCTGTTCTCTTTGTATCCTGGATGAGGTTTCTTAGCCCCGGAGGCGACTTCAAAAAACGAAGTGAATCTTTGTAGCTGCGAGCGCTACGACAGGTTCATGACTCACAGGTTGGAGTTATTTAAAGAACACCGGTGCAGACACGTTCATTTCTTTAATACACAATCCGCCTTTATAAGGCGACTCAGGGAGTGGTGACCTCACACAGGCATGAGCTGGAGATGTCTTTAAAAAAATAATTCAGACAACAGACGAGTCAAACACACACACGCACACTTTCCCCTAGCGTGATGATGTCATAACAACGCAGGGAGAATCCCAGACGTCTGATTAAAGCCGGAAGCTTCGGTGTGTAACTCTGCGTCTTCTCAGCTTCCTCTACAGTCAGATCTGACTATGATCTGCGGGTTCTTGACGTTAAGGGACCACATGTGAGAGAGAGGGGTGGGGGGTGAAGGGTGAGAGACAGTCTGATGTTATAAGAAAAAGAGAGAGAGGGAGGACAGCCTGCAAACAAAACAAATTATTCTAAACTAGTGTCATAGATTGCCATACGTTTTTTAAATCCCATTACATCTATCTTAAAATTCTTTGTAGCTCTCTTTAGTGCCCTTTCTACAACTTGAAAAAACACAAAAGAAACCCTTCAGAGCTTATTTAGAACTAATTACATCTTCATGAAGTCCGCTTAAATCCCCAGAAAAATGCCCAAGAAAATCCCTTTACCCTCTTCAAACACTTAAATCCACTTCAATTCATATGGAAAGCTTTTATCCTAATTGAACCACTTGAAAATACACCACTTGGAACAACGTAGACCCTTCTTTGTCCTACAAGTTCCTTTACATATTCTATGTGGAATCATTTAGTTTCCCTTTAAAGACTTAAATCTATACCCTAACCAATAGAACTTCTTTACTAACTGGAACTTTGCTAGAACCTCCAAACAACCCCTTTAAAACACTGTGCTAACTCATCAGAGGCCATTTGCACTGAGTCTGCGTTCCTGCTGTGGACATGTCTTGCAGCATTTGTGTGGATTTGGTCACGTAATTGTGGTGGAAGTGGCTTTAGCAATTTTCAGTTTGCTGCTTTCAAAACGTTGTCTAGCCAAGAACACTGCCATCTGAAAATAAGTTTTCAACTGGACACTGCTATCTATATCATTGTTTGAAGTTAGCTATAGCCCCACTTCCGCCCAGCGGTCCGGTTCAGTTTAGTTCTGTATGGTACACATTTATGCCAAGCATACTGATCCAACCCTAAAGACTGGAGCTAGACACACTGCAGTCCATTGATTGGTCGAAAGGATCTTCACTGTTGTTGTTTTTGTATTTTGCGACTATTGTCAGCGCATAGCACTGTCCCATGGACAAACCGGAGTTGCAGACCTTAGGAATCATTGATCGTTGTTTACTTTGTAGCATTCTTCTTTGTTGAATTTATTGGCTGTCTCCACAACGTTGCACCGCTGTGTTTTAGGGATGTGTAAGGGTACGCTTGGCTTTGGAAAAGCAAGGAAGATCAGGGATTACCGTACAAATCCGTATCACGTTGTACTGAACCAAAACTGTCCGCTTGGTGAAAACGGTTCAACTGTGTATCATTAGCTTGTTCTATGTTTTTACCGACTGCACCAAAGCTTGGTTAGCTTTACAGGTATGACCTTAAAAGTCCTCAGCCAATCCAGACTTACTAGATGTGCAGTGTTCACCAATGAGTCTGGTACCGTTTGAGGTTTCTGCCTGAAGCTCTGTTGCTATGGTTACTTGCAGTTGATTGTAATAAACACTTAGGTTAAAATTCCAGCCAATAAGACACCAGATTGTGATATCAACACCCTATTCAGTCGCAGCAGATGGGAGTTCACGAATGAGTCTGGTTCTGTTCGAGGTTTCTGCCTGTTAAAGGAAGCTTTTTTCTTTCTCATGGTGGATATATGTTGCTCTCTGTAAATTATAGAACAAAGGGGTATGCTCTACACCTGCTCTGCATTGAAAGTGTTCTCAGATAACTTGGACGAGGCATTTTTACCTTTGGGACATCTGCTGGAAGTTTTGGTTCCTCCTCGGTCCTCTATTGAGGCAGATCAGTTGTTGACATTGAACATGCAATTGTCTTAATTCTGAGAGTAAAATGTACAATCGCAGGAACATTATGGAAGAACAATATGAATAAGGGGGAATCTGAAACGGCGACCTGTGCAGGATTGCCCTGCTCAAACTACAAAATCTGCTACAATGCCACAAGGCGAGAGCTCACAGTCATGAAGTATGATGTCATGTTGACTGGAGCTGAACAGCAACCAGACTAAACAAATCCAGACTGTCAGACAGCCACCCTGACTGACTGATAGACAGTCAGACAGATGGACAGGAGAGTCACAGGCCAAATCCAAGTCATCCAAGAGTTTTCCCCGCAACACGTAAGTCATTCACAGCCGATCGTGGGAGGGAGGGAGGGGGAAAGGGAGGGATAAAGGAATCCCAGCTTTGCTCCATTAACGGCCAAACAGAGGGAGGGGAGAAATAAATAAAGAGAGAGAGAGAAAGAGAAGGAGGGAGGGAGAAGGTAAAAGTTGGGAGAGCTATGAGTCACAGAGCGAGATGGGAGGAGACTGGAGTAGAGAGAGAGATGGAGGGAGGAGGGATGGAGGTATAATTATGGTAGGAGGCTGCCAGGGCGAGAGAGAGGAGAGAGAAGCAGAGGAAGAGAAAGAAAGAAGAGAGCGGGGAGAGAAATAGAGAGAGTCCAGCCCACTCCGGTAAAACCATTCAACTGGTGAGCGAGGGAACGCATTCAACAGAGAGAGAGAGAGGAAAAGAGGTAAAAAGAGAGAGAGAGGAACTCCCTTCGTCTGGGATAACTTAGTCAAACTGCCTCTTGAACACACACACACTCTGAACACACACTCTGCAGAGGCTTCACCCCGGGAACAAGGATCCTCCCGCACTCCAGAGTTTTTCCTTCTCTGCTTTTCCATCATCCATTCATCACATCTGAGAGTTTTTCCTCTTCTTCTTCTTCTCCTCGATTTGTTGATTTTTCTTTTTCTTTCTTTCTTGTGACGCCTCCACATTTTCCAGCCATCTGTCCCTGACAAAAAAGATAAGGATTACTCATTTTCTCTCTCGGCGTAGTGTTTTTTTTCTTCTTCTTTTTTGTCCTCCTCTCTCTCGTTTCTTTACAGCTTTTTTTTCCCTCCGGTTTTCGCAGGTGGACTGTGAGCTCAGCTGAACTTTGCAAACTTCTGAGGAGAGAACGAGAGCGAAGAAACACAAAGACAGAAAGAGAGAGAGAGACGGCAGACGAAGGAGAGAAAGTGTTTTAAACAGGAGAAGACTTTTTTGTTCAGACACTTTGGGACAAAACTTGACTTTCTGCATCTTTACTGTGCATCTGGCTTCGGCAGCATCACCAAATCCAGCCTAGCAGCCAATCAGGCATCATGTCAATCTTACCTGTGCTCAGCTGGACCGTCCTTCTCCTGGTCCAGACCTGTGGCTCCTCCTTGGACACAGGGTCCAGACTCCAGCCTCCACCTTTATCTTTGACAGTCCATCCTCACCACCAACCGCTGCCGGACGCCTCCTCCAGCTCCAACTGCCCCTCCTGTGCCCTGGCCAGGATGAGGAGAAACGAAGGTGGCGTGACAGCGGCGGATGACATGTTGGGAAATGACCAGGAGGAAGTGGAGGCAGCGCAGCAGGACGTGGTGGAGGCAGTGAAGAGGCACATCCTCAACATGCTGCACCTTCAGGCGCGGCCCAACATCACCCGGCCTGTGCCGCGCGCCGCGTTGCTCAACGCCCTGCGCAAGCTCCACGTGGGGCGAGTGGCGGAGGATGGAAGCGTGCAGATCGAGGGGGAGGAGGAGGTGCGAGGGCGGGGTGGCCGTGGAGGAGGGGGAGGAGCAGCGACGGCGGCGGCTCGGGCAGGAGACAGCGGCGATGCTCAGGAGACAACGGAGATCATCACCTTCGCTGAGGCTGGTGAGTACGATGCTGTGTTTGTGTGTTTGTGTGTTTGTGTGTGAGAGCATCATTTAACACTCCACAACAGTGCCTTCTGGAAACAGTCCATTGAGAGAGAAACCATATATGTGTGTGTGTCTGTGTGTGTGTGTGTGTGTGTGTGTTTGTGTGTGTGTGTGTGTGTGTGTGTGTGTCTGTGTGTGTGTGTATGTGCGTGTTTGTGTCCAACTGGCAGCAGATTAACATGTGTAAATCAAAATTTGTGTGTGTGTGTGTGTGTGTGTGTGTGTGTGTGAGCTTCATTTTTCCGTCTGCATCAGTGTGTTTTGAAATGCACGCAAAGAAAGAAACCCTCGATGTGTGTCTGTGTGTTAATAACTGGCAGCAGTTCAACAGAACATGTGTGATTCTACATTTTTGTGTGTGTTTTCAAATAATGTGTACTGGCTACGTGTGTGTGTGTGTGTGTGTGTGTGTGTGTGTGTGTGTGTGTGTGTGTGTGTGTGTGTGTGTGTGTGTCTGTGTGTGTGTGAGCATAATTTCACTCTCAGACGCAGAGAGAGAATACCTCTGTGCCTTTATGTGTGTGCGTGTGGGTGTGTTTGAGTGTGTAAAGAAATGGCAGCAGTTCAACAGTACATGTGTGAAACTGCATTTTTATGTGTCGATGCGTGTGTGCTGTCAAAGAACGTGTGACAGCTACCTGAGTGTGTGTAGACACAACGTATGTCCATGTGTAAATTTGTGTGTGTGTGTGTGTGTGTGTATGTGTGTGTTTGTGTGTGAAGGACAAAAAAGCAGCTGTATTAGAAATCAGATTGCAGAAAAGGACCGGTCTGTTCGTGTGTGTGTGTATGTGTGTGTGTGTGTGTGTGTGTGTGTGTGTGTGTGTGTGTGTGTGTGTGAGAGAATGTGTGTTTGTTTGTGTGTCCATCTGCTTAATTCCACCTGCGTACTCACTCAACCAAACCCGGCAGATATCCACACACACACACTCATCTAATCGCCTCCTGCTGTTTTCAAAGAATGCCTCATTATCTACTTAAAATCAGAGGAGATAACGTGTGTCACTGTGTGTGTGTGTATGTGTGTGTGTGTGTGTGTGTATGTGTGTGTTTAAATGCAGTCAGGCTGTTGGAGCGCCTTTCTAACAGACGGTAGCGACAAAGAGCGATACAGAGAAATAGAGAGAGAGAGAGAGAGAGAGAGAGAGAGAGGGTTTGTGTGTCTAAATCTTTAAACTCACCTCACACACACTCTGCTAGATGAAACCTCAGTGTGTGAGTGTCCTGCTCAGCAGCACTGCGGCAGGGGTTCACTTCTTCTCCCCATCAGGTTTGTCTCTGCCTTTTTAGCACCTTTTAATCCAGGTCAGTGCAGGGTCACCACACTCCCACTTGTGAGGTTTCCTGAGGGCAGAGAGGCTGAAAAGTATTGTGTCAGTTATGTGACAACCTTGTATCTCCAGTGTTTGGACATTTCTACCGTTTATGTTAAAACCATCAGCTGCAACAGACAAGATTCTTCTTTCTTATTGACGTTTTTCCAAATCTTCCCTCAGCTTTTCTGATTGATTACCTTCCTTAGAAGCAGTCCCTTGCTTTCAGTTTATGAGAAGTCTTCTTCAGTCCATTGTTAAAGGTCTCAGTTAGATTTATATAATTTTTTAACATCTGTCTTGGATTACTACCAATAGAAATCCACTTTAAATGTCTTAAGTGCTTTGGATAATGGTTAGCGGTTATATAAACTGTGTGTGAGTCAGACTGCTGACTTAAAACATGCAAATTCACCTGCATGAGCTGCGAGTCGAGTGCAAAAGGACCATTTTTGATAGAGGTAAAAAGCATTTCTAAAAGGCAATATTGCAAAACTCCCCGCCATCAATCATTTTAACATCCTCCTCCTGGTGATGAGTGCATGTTTGCATTTTTTCCAAGAGCTCACCTGTCAGTCAGGCAGTGTGGGCGGGACTGTGACGTCTTCTTCTCCCTCCTCCCCTGGCTTTTCTGTGAGAGTCTCTGTAGGCGAGAGGCTGGAACAGCAGATGGAAAAGAATTTTATGAACTGGATCTGTGCAGACAGGCGGAGAGGAGCAGCTCCCTTTTAAAGAAAAACACAGAATTGAATGCCATTAAAGAGTTCTTCCTACATGGAGAGCCACATCTCCCAAAGCCTCTTCCGTTTTATGTGAAATTATGTACAACCTCCGCTCAGACATATTGGCTCAGCTGTTATTGGGCAATGTTCCTACATGTACTCTTCAGGTACCACCCCAAAAATCACCAGTTATGATTGGTTTATGTCCACTTAAGGAACTCCCAATGGATACTCTCTGTTTCGCCTATCTGCATAGAGTGTGTCAGAAACCAACTAATTCATGCAATTTGTGTGGATAAAATCCCTTTTAGAGCCACTTTCCAATGGAGAACTCTATCAGAATCAAGTCTATTATCTACAGTTCCACTTCTCGGCTTTCCTAACTATGTGATTGGTAGACCTTGTTGGAAGCTGTATGCAGTTGGGTTAGGGTTAGGGGGTTAGTGTTCAGAAGAATATCTGTCCAGCACTAAAATTGACCCATTGTTCTTGTTTTTTTTTGAGTTTACAGCTCAGGCCATGAAGCAGGTACTTTCATGATGGACAGAGCTGTTCATGAGCACAAGGAAGCTTACCTACTTTGCTTTTTTGAAGTACTTAAGCAGAAGGCTGAACAAGTCGGGATGAGAGAAATGATTGAGAAGAGATCAGCACAAGTGCCCTCTTCTTGGTTAAGAACTAGAGATGAGGTACCTGTAAGTCTTAGCAGCTTAGTTTACGAGCTTCAAGACAAGAAAGTTTACCGTTGCTTGGAATACTTTCACCTGCTCCATCTTGTCCAGCTTGTAAAGTACTCATGTTATCATCCATCCACATTTTAAAGTCCCAAAATAGGCTATGAAATTATTTGTAGTTATTGGGTTTACTCAGATCTGCAAGCCATTTAAGAATGAATCTGTAAGACCCTGATTTTACACACTCTGGTACAAACATTGATCCCAACCCAAACAATATTCAATCTCTCCCCTGGCTGGAGAGGGTATTCTGGTAAAAGTGTTTCCAAATCTTCTATATTTTGAGCCTGGTCTTGAGTGTCCAGGTTTGGAGATAATGCCTTGGGTAAGCGTCACTCTTTATTGAATAAGTCTTTGTACCTGATAGTCTTTGTTGCATGTTAGCTAACGAAAGCTGTACCATTGCATGAAAACACAATACTGATCTATCTCCTCTCTCCTTTTGGCTGGTTTGTCGGCCTTGGAAAGAAATGTTAGCTGTCACCTGTTTAAGACTGGATCTGAGAGACGCTGATATTACCAGATCTGTAAAAATTTTGACCGATATCCTCCTCCTTTTTGGAAAGGGTCAAACAGTAAAAAGTCACCCAAACCTTTTAAGTTCCGAGCGCCTCTTCAAATGTCCAGGTTTGGAGGCTCGATTTATTGTCACTCTTTGATTGAAGTGGTGTTGAGATTGTTCCTGTTAACCATAGTAGCATGTTAGCTTACAAAAATTACACCGTTGCTTAAAAAACAAGGAACTTCTTTATTCGTTGACATTTTAAAACCTAAATTTCAAAGTTGTTCTAAGAAATTGTGATGGAAGTCTACGAGCCGTTAAAGACTGACTGTTACAGTATTACCAGATCTGGAACCAAGATTGGAGCCTACCAAGATTCCTCCTGAAAAGTACACAAAAGTGTCCAGGTACAGGGGTTAGGGTAGAGGATTGTTATCATCTATGTTGGTGGGAATTGGGAAACAAACACATGTCTCCAATTGGTCCATTGTTGTGTTGAACAGTCCATCTTCTTTCAGCCTTTTTATGACTCTTTAGTCCAATGACTTGCACTTTAACTTTAATCCTGGTCGCAAATTAACTGATTGTAATCTATTTTGGGGGGGAGTGAAATCAAGCTTTTCCTGTTTTGATGAGTAACGTTGTAGTTTCCTGGCAAGGACCGTTTTGACCTGTCACACAATCGAGTTCATTCTAGGTTTGTTGGACTCTGTAACATGCTGTTAAACCAAAACTATTGGCTTAAAGAGGCTAAAATGATCAGGTGAGCAAAATGCTTTCTTTCTAAAACGTTTCTTCTGGTAACTCATGAAACGTTGCTCTTTTAAGATGTGACACAGCCCGCCGTGAGAATACTTTGCACCCAGCCAGTCCTGTGCTTTGTTAGGAATAACTGATGCATTCAGGGACCTCAGTAATTATTTTGGGCGATGGAGATGGCAAGTAGGGGAGTGGAGGGACGACTGGAATCTTGGCGGACACCAAGTGTCGACCTCCGTTTAGCAGCTCGGACACAATATCTATCTGTCCGCCGTTTTCTTTCCATCCGCCTGTTCTGTTTAAATTCCTCTCCTCCATCCCTGTTTATCTTCTGCTTCTCTCTCCGTCTCTCCCCACACAGAGGACAATTAGGCTAATTGAACTTAATTGAACACATCATTAGTGACATTCCACAATCCACTTTCATCTCCCCATTTCCATCTCTGCTGCTCGCTGTAACCTCGGTCTACCCTTCCCTCCTCTGGCAGACAGAATAAACCGGTCATTGTTGGATCTATTCTGGTGGCCACGTCTGTCTGGGGACTCAAACCAGCAACCCTGCGATGAGCTTGGGTGCGGTTCAATGACTCCTGACAACAGAGAGGAAACGGTGAATCTCAGCAGCGGAGAGGAAAGACAAAGAAAGACACAAAACGTCTGTCTGATTTGAAAATAAACTATAATTAGCATGTTTCCTCTCTCTGTTTTCCTTCCTCTTACCCACATTTGTCTTTTCACTCTGTGTTCTTTTGATCTTTTTCTTCCTCTCTCATTTTTTTCTTGGCTTTACCTCACATTTTCATAATTTTCTCTCTGTTTATCCTTTCTCTGTTCCCTTTGTTCTCTCTGTACGCTCTCCCTCCTCTTCCATCCCTCCTGTCCGTCATGTTCTTCTGTGACGTGGCTTTAGCATGTTTATGGGG